CAGTGCATCCCATAGTACTTCTAAAGAGTTCTTTGTGACTTTGAATTGTAGCCTCAACAGGTGGTCAGTAAGGCTGGGTGTGAGCTGGGAGCAGATCTTCTTGGGGTGTGTGAGTAGTGCTGCAGGGATATTTGAGAATCTGGAATGAATGGGAACTGTTAGTACATGGTGTTATTCTTGCTTTTAAGGTTTTTAAAGTAAGTTCTCAAAGTGCTACGTAAGGTATAACAGAGGTGTAAAGGGCAGAATGCCTTTAGGTTTTCTTTCTCCTGTTTTTTGTTGTTGTTTGTTTGTTTTATTTTGTGGTTTTTTTTGTATTTTTTTTTTTTTTTTTCCTTCTGTGGCCAAATACAAACACATGGAGGTTTACAGACAATCTGGAGTGGCTAGAAATCAAAGAATCTTAGAATGGCCTGGGTTGAAAAGGACCACAATGATCATCTGGTTTCAACCGCCCAGCTATGTGCAGGGTCTCCAACCACTAGATCAGGCTATCTAGAGAAGGAGTGGTTCCACTGAAATGCCACAACGCAGCCTTCTGCTGCCCTGCTTCCAAGGCTTTGTACCATCCCCAGTGCTTGTATGACCATTACCTCATAGGCTGTGTTGCTGTCACTGCAGAGTGACCGTGGAGCCCTGTGCTGAGTTGAGAGAAGGGATGAAAATGGGAAGAGATGGGCAGGGCAAAACTTTTCTTTTTTATAGTGATGCAAAAAAAGTAAATAATAATTAAAAAAAAAAAAAAATTGAGAGGTGCTTTCTGATAACTCATGGCTAAATGTGTTGCAGCAATTCTTTAGTTCAGTCATTCATAATGGGAACAGCAATGCAGGACATTCTTTCACTTGTTTGTTGTTGCTTTTTTTTTTTACCCTTAAATTCCATTTAATGCATTCACTTTTGAAGAGATTGCAAATTTTCATTCTGAAAATGATTTCTCATACAAATTGCTGTGCAAGAAGTAGATGCTGAAATGGGAGAATTGCATCTTTGGTTCCAATTTGGCCCATTGGCTTCGAAGAGTTTATTACTTCTAAGCTTTTGTTCTTGTGGTTTTAATCAATATTTGTTTGAAACATCATACTTATTTTTTACGTAGTAAGCAACTTATGCTAAATAAGGAGATAAGCGTAGGAATCTTTTCTATTAAGGAATATAAAGCAATCCTTGTATTGCTGACTTGTAATTTCAAGTTAGTTTTACTGTACGCATTTTCAGGGGGGGGAGAGAAAATAGTGGAGAAGCATAACCAGGCAAGAAAAGCAGGATGTTTCTGCCTGGCATTTGCTACTGAATGTCATTGGAAACACTTGTGCCTGTCCAATATTCACACCATGGTGGGTTAGAAAATGCCAGGTGTCAGAGGAGGGCAGGTAGGCTTTGCCCGGTAAGAAGGGGAGCATCCTGCTTGGTATGGATGCAAATGATCACGTTTGGTTAAAGGCAGAAATGAGATGGACTTGTGACAGGTTTGGCTTGTGCCACTCTAAATTCTGCTTCATGCTGTTTGTTCACACAGGAGATGAACTGGTTTCCTTATCTTTTTTACCCTGTTTGCACGCCATCAGAAGATGGACTCAGAAAATGCTCCCTGTGCTGATTCACATCAACTGTTAAAGCAGAGACTTTTGAGTAGATGTTGAGTTAGCGTATACATAATATCCTTTCAGGAAGGCATGCCTTCATAAATACCTCATTGCAGCCTTGCAGTGTAGATGTACAGTTTCCTTTGGCTCTCTTCTATCTTGTCAGTACCACTTTAAGTTGGATTTTAAGAACTGCCAGCATGCAGATCAGGTTTGGGTGATGCTTGGCAGGAGCCCAGGCCATGAAGCTATCAGGGGCAGCCCTATGGGCAGCAAGGTCACCGAGTAGAGGAACTTCCTTGTAAATTAATGCATGCCATGTCATCTTCATCATTCAAATCCAAATCCCTTAGGCCAAGTGTAACCCTTAGCTTTCTTGCTGTGATAGTATATCCCCTTTTTGCATCAATAAATGTAACAGCACTCAAAAGTTAACATCTGTATGCTCTAGTTTCTCTCTTTGGCTGTACTTTTACCTGGAGGTAATCCAAAGATGAAGTGAATTTTGTTTTGCGGGCCTCTTCCTGCATCTCATAAATGCTGCTTGAGAGGGTCGTGTGACCATTAAGAGAAGGATTGCTCCACTCATTTCTTATCTCGCTGTTCTGCAGGCATCCAGCTCACAGACACAGTATGATTATTTGATCATACAAACGAAGTACGAAACCAGCCAGAGCTGGGTAGCGCTACGCGTTTGGTTTGTGTTTTCTATGTTATTAAACAACTTCAGCACTTCTCTGTGCATGCTGAGGGTTCATTAGGCTCCGCATCATGCAAGAATCTGAAGAGCATGAAGAAGTCTCTGCAGGAGCAGACTTAAGGGCAAGGTTGTGCCCACCACTGATGCGGGAATTGTTTTGCTTCTCGAGTCTCAGCCCATGAGGCCACAGGGAAAAAAATAATCCTATCGTGTAGGGGAGTACAGGCAGACAGATAAAAAGTATTTGAAAGGCTACTATGTAAATATTTATTGACAATTATCCTTTCTCTGCGATAGGTGTCATAAATCATTTGCGACTTCTGGAGTTTATACCCAAAAAGTTTTCAGTGCACTGTCATGTTATCTCTTTGTGACAGGTTTAGATTCTCCAGAACTTGAATCAGCTTAAACAAATAAAAATTAGAAAGCAAACCCCACCCCTTCACTCCCTGACTGAGCTTTTTCCTTCATGGCAGTGTACCTGGTTGCTTCCTCTGTTTTTGTGTGTACCTTTTCAATTTTTGTAGCACAAAAAGTTTCTTCCTTTTATAAACTCTTTATGATGCTGTAGAGAAGACACACGTAAGGCCAGCAGGGTAGTTTGATGCGTACTGGTAGCTTTCTAAAATTCAAATGGGAAACTTGATTGGTATTTCAAAAGAATAATTTAAAATATTTGTGAGCCTTTTCGAAAGCAGGCTTTAAATGTTATTAGTGGCTAGCATCCTAGCTTGAGCCATGATTTAATTTCTTGCTCGCATGTGAAGAAGCCATTTGCCTTCCTCTTGCCCTTGGACTTTTTAATCACCACAGTTAGAGCCGAGAAATCTTCAGACCCTAAATGCTTTATTTAAGCGAACAAATTGAAGGGGTAGACTGGTGAGAGAGAAGAGCGAGAGAACAAAATCTTGGCAGAGCAAGCAGCTATACTTATCAGAAAAAAATGCAGCTTCCTTATAGGCTTTGGTTCTGAACAATGTGAGGTTTGATTTAGTTGATCAGCAAAGAGACGAGGCCAAACAAAGGCCACTTTGTCATGCCTGAATTTCAGAAATATATCCACATCACAATGGCATGCAGTGCAGTTTTTCATATGTTTTTTGGCTGAAACTGGGTTTTGGGATAGGAACACAAGTTGGCAAAAACAGCTTCCTTGCTCAGAGAAGAATAACTTCTGTTGATCAGAGATTTTTTTGGAGAGATTTTTAATTAGACCAATGCTGTGAAGGCTGCAGAGCCAAGGGAGTTCAAAACAGATATGTAAAGTACTTTACAGTTCCTCATATTTTATCATCATTTCAAAGTCAGCAGGGAGCTAAGCCTCAAAATGATGCTATGGCTTAACTCTGTATAGTTGTTGTTTTATTCCTGCCAAGCTTGAGTCACTGTGGCCACCTAGCCCCTTCATAAGAGATTAAAATGACGGAAAGATGGAATCATTTCTGCAATTATATGAGTGAATGTTTCTCTGAGCATGGGCTTCAATTTCCCTGTGTTTCCCTGTAAGAGTGTGGGATGGATAGACCATTTTTTAAATTCCACGATGTATAGCTGCGGAGCTTGAGTAGGCATAAGTGACTGAGTCTCAGGCAGTCACCACAGGTGGGAGCTACATGGTAAGGGGGACTTTAGTCTCTGCTTGGGTTCGAAGCCTGGTCCAGATTTGATGCTAAGAGCGTTATCAAGTACTGAAATGCACTGCCTGGGGAAGTGTTAGATTCACCATCCCTGGAGGTATTTAAGATACGCATGGACGTGACATCTGGGGACATGGTTTAGTGATGGGACTTGGTAGTCATCTTGGTGGTTGGAATTGAATGACCTTGATGGTCCATTTCAATGTAGGTGATTCTGTGGTTGCATGAGTGGAAGCACTGCACTTTCCATGCTTTCTTGCACATATGGCGTAGACCAAACAGTGAACTTACACCTGCAGTTTGTTGATTTGTCATCACGCTGGCCAATATGCTCTTTCAGGAGCTAACTTCTACTAACAGGCTCTGAGCCTGAGGGTTTGAGGTTGGAAAAGAGGTATCCGGAATAGAAATTTATTTCTGTGCAAGAGATCAGCATAGAACCTAGTCACTGGTTAAATCCATTTCAGCAATGGAATTTCTGTCATCTTCTGATGTATAAATACCCAAATGTTTCCAAGGGAGTTACAGGCTGTTTTAGAACTCCTGTGTATGTAGATTTTAGTGCAAAGCATGTGGACTTGCTTTTTCCAGTCACCTTTCAAGTCTGTGGACTCCCTGGGCCCATGGGCATTGTGTTCAAGACTTCTATCTTAATCCCTGTTTTGAGAGAGGAAGTGGAGCATTAGCGATGCACAAACTGACTCTGCATGGAGACAAGTTTTAATTCCTGTTGTACATAAAAAATATCTGAAGGGTCGGGGGGGTAGATATGTTTGCCTTTGCAGCTGTTGGCAGCAGAGAAATGCAGCAAGACTTGATTGAAAACACCTATCTTAGTGTTTTACTAACTGCATTTTTTTTTTTCCATTCTTGTTTCTAGGTCACAGATTCTGGATACTGGCTGTGGGATTTTTTTATTATTATTTTTATTATTTTTGATTGGCTTTTTCTCCCTTCTTGGATGTGAGTTGAAGGCCAACAGCTGAAGTGTTGAAAACCAGTGCAGAAGGACACTCACCTTGTTTTGTTTGAACCCTTGTTTGCTGGGATACTTTCAAGCCCTCCTTCACAGTCATGTGGTCATCACAGCTGCTGTTCTTCACAATGCTCTTAACACCGTTAGCCCATGGTGAGTGAGGGATGGGGGAATGTGACTGTGGGAAGGGAAGGAGAATGGAAAATTGCCAAGACGTTGTCTCTTCTGCCTAATGCTTGTGGTTTTTTTCCAGGGTCTTGATTTCTTTCCCCACTTCCCACCCAGGTCTCTGAGTTCTGGTGTTACTGTGTGACTAATTAAGTCACGAAACAAAGAACTTTGGTCACATAACTATTTCTCTTACAAAGTTTAGTTACTGTGTTAAGGCTGACTTTCATCCTAATGCCCGAGCCTACTCGGTTGGCTATGCTGTTGGCTGTATATCACTGGAATTGTCGTTCCTGGCCTCTGTGTGAAGATGACCTCTTTTGTGAATGCTATTCAGTAGAATTTTGTGTATCCCCCATCAGCCACAGCTCCATAGAACATAGGATCTTACTCACTGTCATGATATATCATGATTTCAAGCACCACAGTGCACATTTTCATGCACTCCTATACCCAATGTGACCCTGAGTCTGGAAGAACCTAAACCAGTATATTTGTCTTTAGCTTGGCACACTGCGTAACCCACCTGGCAACAAGAGGTCATCAGCTGTAGCACCATGCTGATGCAAGTAGGCAGTATGTGAGAGATGAGCTAATGTTATCAGACATCACTGCTGTGCTGTGGGGATGTATTAGCTTCGGAGTCTGTGTGCAGCACACTATTGCCTACAGTGTCCATTATGTTTTCTTAAGTGGAAAAATTTGGTCTTTTTATTAGCCATGAAAATTGAAATCTGACACATTTAATTCTTAGGGATAAGACTTCAAGAAGTAAATTGCTAGATTTCTGAAGAGCCAGAAGGGTTCGGGAGCTCCTGTTCTCAGTAATGGTTGCTAAATTATGAGGGCTGAGCTCTGAAAGATTTGGCTGCTCCCTGATGCCCCAATGAAACATGAGCTTTGAGAATCCTATTTTAATTGCAGGTCTGTGGGAGCCTGTTTGTAAATGAGATGACTCCCTTCGTGGATCTTGTGCACCTCTGCTTTGAAAATACTCCAGTCTTTTTGTGCTTAGCATCCAGTGCGTGTGTGCTAAGACTCAAGTGAAATTTTACAGCAGAGGGAAAAAAAAAGAAAAGAAAAAAATTGCATGTACGAATGTATCTATTTCTGGAGCATGGCCTGTCTGTTTATATCACTTATAACACTTTTGTGCACAAAGATTATCTCTACTATCGTTCCTTAAGCAAAGCTCCTCACTAACTTGAAAATTAGAATGAATAATTAAACTGAGCAAACCAATTGGGGTGGAATGGAAAGAGCTGTTAGGAAAAGGTGCTCTCCATTCTTCTCTTGGAAAGTTAACTGGTGAATGTTTTGTGAATCTTTATAATGAAACAATATTAACAGTTGAACAGTTGACAATTTGGATATGCCTCTGGCAGTCCTGTTTTTAATTCACGGTGCCACTGCAGCTGGAAAATCCTTCATGATAGTCTCTGTAAATAAAAATGTATGAAAATGTCACAAGTATCTTAAGAGTCACATGGTGCTAAAGGCAAGCAAACATTACAGATGTAGAAACTAGATGCCTGAAAAAATATCTGCAGCGGTACCCTTTATGCTTTTTTACAAAGTAGGTGCCTGGGGTGGCTGCTATGTGTGTTAGTCAGTAGTGGTAAATCTGACCCTTATGTTATCTCATCCCTGTAAATCACTAGTAAGAGTGTAGCAGAGGATTCCAGCAATTTTTGAGCAGTCGAGAGTGAAGACCTTTGCTCTCGGAATCGAATCTGTCTCTCCTTCTTTTATTGACCAAGATGTGGTTACCATCCCTAAACTTTTTTGTGCTGCTTTTCTTGGAGGAAGTGAGTAGAATATCTGATTATTCAGGTATGGTACACTTCTGATGCTAAACAAAGGGAGAAAACTGCAGTGTAGTTGTGTCATGTAGTAAGATTATGTTTGGTATCAGTTTCACTGAACAGACTGAACATTCAGTCTCCTGTGAGGGATGAGGAACGTGCATGTTACAGTGAGAGTGGTACTACAGGTTGGAAAACATAGGCTGGCAGCACTTCCAAGGCTTTGAAATTAGACACAAAGTGTATGATGGTTTTAAGGTACTCTTGCTTGCTGCCTCTCGTCCTGTACATGCTCACAAAATGCTGCCTGAAGTGGATGGCAAGGCAGTATCAGTGCAGTTTCTCCTGCTATAGCCTTAAGGCAGTATGCATGGGTTTAAACACATGCCACAACTTACCTTGCTTATAAAGATTGCTTAATTTTAATTAATTTTAATTGCTTAATTTTTCCCTTCTAATGATCCGCTCTTATTATACATAGAAAAATTTTGTATTTTGTTTAACAGGATTCTAACAGGAACTGTAACTGTTCTTTTCCTGAAGTGATTACCAGAGTAGGTACAAACTGCTTTTGCAGTTCGTGGCTTGCTACATCTCTTGGGCTGTTTGAGTTTCCCAGTGCAGCCTGTTCAACTGTAAAGGTAGTTATGCGCTCAATCTCTTAGTCTGATGATCCCATACATTTGTTGATTTAGGGCTTTGTTTTGTTTGGGAGTTTGTGTGTCTTTTTTAGCCAACAGTTTTTTGGGAGCATACTGTGACTTGGGTTACAGTGAAAAGTATGGAATTGATGACTATTTGACTTAAGCCATCAGGAGGATAAGCAGTTTTTCAGCATACTGCCCTGCTTCACTCTTGTCTTGTTCTGCAGAGGTAATAAAAGAGGAACAAGCCTTGAATTTTTGTAGTTTCTTGGTGATGGTGTTAATCTGAAAAGCGTGGGTGCTGTGATGTGCCCAGATTTACTCTGAATCATAGTTCATAAGCAGCAGAGTCCATGCGTTCTTAAGATCGGTAGCTTCCTTTACTGTTGCTGCGCATTTTGACTGAAAATAGCTTTTGTAGATGGGTCAGTGCAAAGGCCCCAGGAATCCACCTTTTAAGCTCCAGCAAAGCCTGTCAACTCATCTGTTGGATAAAACTAAACCTGTTATTAAAAAGAACTAGACAATTAGCTAAGATTAAAAACAACAAAGCCAGGAATAAAAATAAAAATAAGCCCACTGGCACCAGAAGCAACAACAACAACAAAACAAACAAAAAACAAGTAGAAAAGGCTCTGCAGCATGCTGAATTTTTGCAATCCCTAATTCCCTTCTGCCCAATTGAAGGCTGCTTCTAAAGCATCCAAAAACCTGGGCTCTCACAAAAGTTCTGCTTGGCTTGCATCCTCCTCATGTGCACCTGAACACGCTCATCCTCTTTGCTTGCCATGTGTAGATTTCCCACAGGCATTTTCTGGAATGAGCAGCTGTTCTCATCTCCTTTAGCCTTCCTCCCTTTGACCCCAAACAGGGCAGGTTTCTCCTTAACCCACAAATGTGAGTTGTCAAAGTTCACCCGAAATGAGATAGACGTGACATGCAACAGCTCAGCTTGAGAGCTTTGGGAGACATACACCTGCTCTGTCACATTGCTTTCATGCTCGTGTGACTGAGAGCTGGGATTTAGAACTTCCGGGCTGCTGGACAAAAGAAAGTTACTATAGTGATACAGCTTTGAGGTGAAATGTTTTGTTTTCCAGCAAGTACCTTAGTTTAGGATTTAAAAGAGTACTGAAGGCCTGTTGTGTCCAGAGGTCTTTTCTCATTGGATTGTTTTATTTTTTGGTTAGTTTTAGGGATTATATTGTGTGTGGTTTCTTGATGAACAGGTGCAAGATGCTGTATGTAAGGATCAAAGGATGGCTTTTGGGATCACTCTAATGCTTTAGCTGTCTAATCTGAAATAGAACTATCACTTATTACTCCAATTGAAGAAATAACTCAAATTACTTGGTTTCTCTTGAGGGTCCTTACAAATGCAGTAAAATCAATGGGCACAACTATCTGCCCACTTCCTCTGCTGCTAAGCTCTTTCCCTGCCAGTGCTTTATGAGAGAGAGCCATCAGCCTCCAGTTTCCTGCATAGGCAAAACCCAGTGTCAGTGGTGGGGATTTCAGCTTTTTTAACACTTTGTTAAGAAGTTACGTGCTTTTCTCTTCAAAGAGAATTAGTTATTAATCTCTTTCTCCACATAAAACTTAGGTTTGGGGGAAGGAATAGAACCATACACTTGTCCAAAGCTAGACGAGACTGAAATGAGAAAAGTTGGGTGATAATCTAACCAAAAGCAAGTATGTTTTTGCAGAACGATCAATACATCTCTGACACTGGTGTGGTTCTGCTGTTACAGCCTGAATAACCACTGTAGCGGTCTCCTGATTGTGGAATAAGATGCAGGTGTAGCTGAGGTTTTTTAGGTGACTGTGGAGATGGAGTTAAATTCAAGCTGAAGTATTTTCACTTTGGACAAAGTGTGATAATTCTCAGAGTCTGTATTGTTAGGAAACCTCAGGCCTACTACTAACACTTGACAGCACCCAACTGGCTTGCCTACAGTTGCTGCTGGTCCAACTCTGAATTTCCAAAAAAGAAGTTGCCTCTGAGACCTTCCTTATGCAGAGTTGTAGCATAGCTTTGAAGTGACCTTCCTGCATCTAGGATAGATGCCATCTTGTCTCTCCACAGGAGAATTGTTTCACATGGGACTGAAATAATTTGTTTTCAAAAATTCATTTTTTACTTTGCATCTTCTCAAGCTATTGTAGCTGAAAGGAAGAGGGCTTTGTCTGCTGTACTTTTGTGACCCTCGGTGTTCGTGCAGCACTGTCCCAGTATTTCTTGGAGATGCTCATGGTAAGGGATGGCTGTGTCTTTGCAAGGAAATGGCTCTGGAAGGTCAAACTGATCTCTCTAGGCACAAGCAGGTTGAGTTGCTGAGCTGGTTTCTGTGGGAACAGTGAAAATATTTATTACTGAGCAGCACTTGTTGTTGCTTGGTGACAATGATTCTGTTAAAGCAAGCAGCATTATCTTTCTTGGGGGAATATATGATGCTAGCAAGCTGGTCCTTGTGACAGAGTGCTGTTTAATGTGAGCTGAACATTTGCTTCACTACTATTTTAATACGGTGAAAAT